GCATCATCAGGAGAAGAGGGTGCCAGCTTGGCAGCGAGCAAAACAGTCGGTGGGTTGCCCAGGAGGCAGCAGGGTCGCAGCAGTGTCAGTGGAGGCAAACGGCCACGGAGTAGAGCACCAGCTCCACTGCAGCCTACCACCACGGCCAGTAGTGGTGCCGGTGTGCACGGAGGAAGTAGCAGTCAGCCAGTGAGGAGTAGCGGGGGCAAAGTTTCCTACTCGGCGGTGTGGCAATTTTTCCTCAAGCCGCCCGAGGAAGTAAACGTAGCCGTATGTCGACTATGTGGCCAGAAAGTCAAGCGTGGCCAGGGGGCCCATGTTGGGACTACAGCGTTGCGTCAGCATATGCAGCGTCGCCATTCGGTGGCCTGGGAAAACCGTGATAAAGATACGGCGGTTCTGCCTGCCCCAGCCCCCGCTCCATCACCCGCTCCGTTACTTGCTCCGTCACCCGACGTCAATCGCCCTCTATCAGCCAGTCAAGGCTCCAACACCTCTGCTGAGGGGAGTTGTCGCTCGTTGGCATCTTCCGCTCGTTCAGATGCTCCTTCTCCTGCTACTCCTCTTCACGGATTCCGTCAGCAGTCTTTCTTGGAATCCGTTTCCAAGAGACAACAGTTTGCGAGCACGCACCCGACGGTGCAAAAGCTGAACGTCCTCCTGTCCAAGTTGCTGGTGCTGCAGTCCCTCCCTTTCCAAGTGGTGGACTCAGCACCTTTCCGAGAAATGATGGCTTGTGCCGCGCCGCGGTGGAGAGTGCCAAGCCGGCATTTCTTCGCAAAAAAGGCAGTGCCAGCCCTGCATTCACATGTAGAAGAGATGGTGGGCCAGTCTTTGAGCATGTCGGTCTCTGCCAAAGTGCACGGCAGCGCCGACGTGTGGAGCTGTAACTACGGTCAGGGACAGTACATGTCATTTACGGCCCACTGGGTGAACGTGGTGCCGGCACAGCCGCACCAGCAACTTGGACAGGTCACGCCGCTTTTGCCTCCACGTTTGCACGTCCTTGGTCCAGCAAACATGTCCGCCTCTACCACCTCTTCTTCCGCCGTGTCCTCAGCCGCCACCCCCGTGCCAAGTCCCATTACCCGACCGGCATATCACATGTGCAGGGCGCAACGGTGTCACGCTGTGCTGCACCTGGTATGCCTTGGCGAACGTAGTCACACAGGGGAGGAACTTCTGAGTGTAATGAACAGAGAAATCGACAGATGGCTGTCTCCGCGCAAACTGAAAATCGGAACCATGTTGACCGACAACGGAAAGAACATGGTGTCTGCTCTGCGTCAAGGAAGGTTGTGCCATGCGCCATGCATGGCTCACGTGTTCAATCTGGTTGTCAAGCGGTTCCTAAAATCCACCATCCCACTGCAAGACATCCTTAAAATGTCACGTAAACTTTGCATGCATTTCAGCCATTCCTACACCGCAAAGCACACCCTCCTTGAGCTGCAGCGGCAGAACGGAATTCCACAGCATCGCCTGATCTGCGACGTTGCAACAAGGTGGAATTCAACCCTACACATGTTAGACCGCCTTTACGAACAGCGAAAGGCCATCACCGATTTCCTGATGTTACAAGCGGATAAAGGTACTCCCCTGTGTAACTTCGATGTCAGCCATTGGCAGCTCATGCGTGACACCTGCCGCTTGCTCAGGCCCTTGAGGAGGAGGCCACGCTATTCGTGAGTCGGCAGGACTATGGGATGAACGACGTCATTCCTCTGTTGCACGTCCTGGAACAAATGCTGTTAACAATGGCTGGTCAGGGTGCGGTAGACGTGGCGCACAGATCTCAACGCCACATGACCCCTGTGGGGGCAGGACAGGAAGAAGAGGAGGAGGTAGAGGAGGACATTGGTGCTCAGGAATTATTGAGTGAAATGGGTGGTTTTTCCACTCAGCGGACAGGAGTGGAGGAGCAGGAGCATCTGGTAGAGGAGGAGGAGGAGGAGACAGAGGACCCAGACGCACCGTGGCAGTATGCTGTGGAGATGGAGGCAGGGAGTCCCTCGCATTCCTTGGCACAAATGGCCCATAGCATGCTCGGTTGCTTGCGTAGCGACAGCAGAATAATAACCATCAGACAGAGGGATGACTTTTGGCTGTCCACCTTGTTGGACCCTCGCTACCGTTCAAAAATGGTGGCCTTTTTCACACCTGCTGAGAGGGAGGCCAAAATAACGTACTATAAAAACCACCTATGTAGTCAGTTGGTCTCTGCCTTTCTGCGCCAACGTCCATCCTCAGACACTGTGGGCCCTGTGCGCTCGCGTTCCGCTGCCATGGCAGCAGGGGAGGGGTGGGGTGGTAGGAGCAGTGGCAGCTCCACCAGCAGCGGCTGCCTCAGTCTGCAGTCGATGATGAGTAGCTTTCTTCACCAGCGCAGTGAGGAAACTACTACTAACCAGCCGCAGCAGCAGCAGCAGCATCAGGTGGACCTGGAGCAGGAGCTCAAACAACAGGCTTGGGCCTACTTGGACAGCACCCTGCCAACCGAGGTAGACAATCCCCTTGACTACTGGGCAACGAAACTTGACCTTTGGCCCCAACTAGCTGAATTTGCCCTTGAAAGGCTGTCATGCCCGGCCAGTAGCGTGGCATCGGAGCGCGTGTTTAGTGCGGCAGGAGGTATTGTAACTCCGCGGAGGACACGACTGTCCACCCAAAGTGTGGAGAGACTCACGTTTGTGAAAATGAATCAGGCGTGGATTAGTCTGGATTTCAAACCACCAGTTCCTGACACAACTGACTAAATCCGCCATGAATCATGCCCCTGCCATGTGCCACTTTCAGGTCTCCTCACACTGCTGCTGGGTTCCATTTTGTCATAGGGTGCTGGCAGATTACGGGCCTCCCATTGCTGCTGCCAGGCCTGTAATCTGCCATGGGCCCCTGTACCGCCTCCTCATGCTGCTGCCAGGTCCAGAGTGTCTCATGGGTCCCTGTACGGCCTCCCATTGCTGCTGTCTCCATCGCCACACTCTGCCATGTGCCACTTTCAGGTCTCCTCACACTGCTGGTGCTGTCCATTTTGTCATAGGGTGCTGGCAGATTACGGGCCTCCCATTGCTGCTGCCAGGCCTGTAATCTGCCATGGGCCCCCGTACCGCCTCCTCATGCTGCTGCCAGGTCCACAGTGTCTCATGGGTCCCTGTACGGCCTCCCATTGCTGCTGTCTCCATCGCCACACTCTGCCATGTGCCACTTTCAGGTCTCCTCACACTGCTGCTGGGTTCCATTTTGTCATAGGTTGCTGGCAGATTACGGGCGTCTCCCATTGCTGCTGCCAGGCCCCTAATCTGCCATGGGCCCCCTGTACCGCCTCCTCATGCTGCTGCCAGGTCCCACAGTGTCTCATGGGTCCCTGTACGGCCTCCCATTGCTGCTGTCTCCATCGCCACACTCTGCCATGTGCCACTTTCAGGTCTCCTCACACTGCTGCTGGGTTCCATTTTGTCATAGGTTGCTGGCAGATTACGGGCGTCTCCCATTGCTGCTGCCAGGCCTGTAATCTGCCATGGGCCCCTGTACCGCCTCCTCATGCTGCTGCCAGGTCCACAGTGTCTCATGGGTCCCTGTACGGCCTCCCATTGCTGCTGTCTCCATCGCCACACTCTGCCATGTGCCACTTTCAGGTCTCCTCACACTGCTGCTGGGTTCCATTTTGTCATAGGTGCTGGCAGATTACGGGCGTCTCCCATTGCTGCTGCCAGGCCTGTAATCTGCCATGGGCCCCCTGTACCGCCTCCTCATGCTGCTGCCAGGTCCACAGTGTCTCATGGGTCCCTGTACGGCCTCCCATTGCTGCTGTCTCCATCGCCACACTCTGCCATGTGCCACTTTCAGGTCTCCTCACACTGCTGCTGGGTTCCATTTTGTCATAGGTTGCTGGCAGATTACGGCGTCTCCCATTGCTGCTGCCAGGCCTGTAATCTGCCATGGGCCCCTGTACCGCCTCCTCATGCTGCTGCCAGGTCCACAGTGTCTCATGGGTCCCTGTACGGCCTCCCATTGCTGCTGTCTCCATCGCCACACTCTGCCATGTGCCACTTTCAGGTCTCCTCACACTGCTGCTGGGTTCCATTTTGTCATAGTCATAGGGTGCTGGCAGATTACGGGCGTCTCCCATTGCTGCTGCCAGGCCCCTAATCTGCCATGGGCCCCTGTACCGCCTCCTCATGCTGCTGCCAGGTCCACAGTGTCTCATGGGTCCCTGTACGGCCTCCCATTGCTGCTGTCTCCATCGCCACACTCTGCCATGTGCCACTTTCAGGTCTCCTCACACTGCTGCTGGGTTCCATTTTGTCATAGGTGCTGGCAGATTACGGGCGTCTCCCATTGCTGCTGCCAGGCCTGTAATCTGCCATGGGCCCCTGTACCGCCTCCTCATGCTGCTGCCAGGTCCACAGTGTCTCATGGGTCCCTGTACCGCCTCCCATTGCTGCTGTCTCCATCGCCACACTCTGCCATGTGCCACTTTCAGGTCTCCTCACACTGCTGCTGGGTTCCATTTTGTCATAGGTTGCTGGCAGATTACGGGCCTCCCATTGCTGCTGCCAGGCCTGTAATCTGCCATGGGCCCCTGTACCGCCTCCCTCATGCTGCTGCCAGGTCCACAGTGTCTCATGGGTCCCTGTACCGCCTCCCATTGCTGCTGTCTCCATCGCCACACTCTGCCATGTGCCACTTTCAGGTCTCCTCACACTGCTGCTGCTGGGTTCCATTTTGTCATAGGTGCTGGCAGATTACGGGCCTCCCATTGCTGCTGCCAGGCCTGTAATCTGCCATGGGCCCCTGTACCGCCTCCTCATGCTGCTGCCAGGTCCACAGTGTCTCATGGGTCCCTGTACGGCCTCCCATTGCTGCTGTCTCCATCGCCACACTCTGCCATGTGCCACTTTCAGGTCTCCTCACACTGCTGCTGGGTTCCATTTTGTCATAGGTTGCTGGCAGATTACGGGCGTCTCCCATTGCTGCTGCCAGGCCTGTAATCTGCCATGGGCCCCTGTACCGCCTCCTCATGCTGCTGCCAGGTCCACAGTGTCTCATGGGTCCCTGTACGGCCTCCCATTGCTGCTGTCTCCATCGTCACACTCTGCCATGTGCCACTTTCAGGTCTCCTCACACTGCTGCTGGGTTCCATTTTGTCATAGGTTGCTGGCAGATTACGGGCGTCTCCCATTGCTGCTGCCAGCCCCTGTAATCTGCCATGGGCCCCTGTACCGCCTCCTCATGCTGCTGCCAGGTCCACAGTGTCTCATGGGTCCCTGTACGCCTCCCATTGCTGCTGTCTCCATCGCCACACTCTGCCATGTGCCACTTTCAGGTCTCCTCACACTGCTGCTGGGTTCCATTTTGTCATAGGGTTGCTGGCAGATTACGGGCGTCTCCCATTGCTGTGTGCCACTTTCAGGTCTCCTCACACTCCTGCTGGGTTCCATTTTGTCATAGGTTGCTGGCAGATTACGGCGTCTCCCATTGCTGCTGCCAGGCCTGTAATCTGCCATGGGCCCCTGTACCGCCTCCTCATGCTGCTGCCAGGTCCACAGTGTCTCATGGGTCCCTGTACTGCCTCCCATTGCTGCTGTCTCCATCGTCCACACTCTGCCATGTGCCACTTTCAGGTCTCCTCACACTCCTTCTGGGTTCCATTTTGTCATAGGTTTGCTGGCAGATTACGGGCATCTCCCATTGCTGCTGCCAGGCCTGTAATCTGCCATGGGCCCCGTACCGCCTCCTCATGCTGCTGCCAGGTCCCACAGTGTCTCATGGGTCCCTGTACCGCCTCCCATTGCTGCTGTCTCCATCGCCACACTCTGCCATGTGCCACTTTCAGGTCTCCTCACACTCCTGCTGGGTTCCATTTTGTCATAGGATGCTGGCAGATTACGGGCCTCCCATAGCTGCTGCCAGGCCCCTAATCTGCCATGGGCCCCTGTACCGCCTCCTCATGCTGCTGCCAGGTCCACAGTGTCTCATGGGTCCCTGTACGGCCTCCCATTGCTGCTGTCTCCATCGCCACACACTCTGCCATGTGCCACTTTCAGGTCTCCTCACACTCCTGCCTGGGTTCCATTTTGTCATAGGTTGCTGGCAGATTACGGGCGTCTCCCATTGCTGCTGCCAGGCCTGTAATCTGCCATGGGCCCCTGTACCGCCTCCTCATGCTGCTGCCCAGGTCCACAGTGTCTCATGGGTCCCTGTACTGCCTCCCATTGCTTCTGTCTCCATCGCCACACTCTGCCATGTGCCACTTTCAGGTCTCCTCACACTCCTGCTGGGTTCCATTTTGTCATAGGTTGCTGGCAGATTACGGGCGTCTCCCATTGCTGCTGCCAGGCCTGTAATCTGCCATGGGCCCCCGTACCGCCTCCTCATGCTGCTGCCAGGTCCACAGTGTCTCATGGGTCCCTGTACGGCCTCCCATTGCTGCTGTCTCCATCGTCACACTCTGCCATGTGCCACTTTCAGGTCTCCTCACACACTGCTGCTGGGTTCCATTTTGTCATAGGTTGCTGGCAGATTACGGGCGTCTCCCATTTGCTGCTGCCAGCCCCTAATCTGCCATGGGCCCCTGTACCGCCTCCTCATGCTGCTGCCAGGTCCACAGTGTGTCATGGGTCCCTGTACGGCCTCCCATTTCTGCTTTCTCCATCGCCACACTCTGCCATGTGCCACTTTCAGGTCTCCTCACACTGCTGGTGGGTTCCATTTTGTCATAGGGTGCTGTATGGCCTCCCATTGCTGCTGCCAGGCCCCTAATCTGCCATGGGCCCCCCCTACCGCCTCCTCATGCTGCTGCCAGGCCCGTAATCTGTCATGGTCCCCTGTTCCGCCTCCTCATGCTGCTGCCAGGTCCAGAGTGTGTCATGGGTCCCTGTACCCGGCCCTCCTCATGCTGCTGCCAGGCCCGTAATCTGCCATGGGCCCCCGTACCGACTCCTCATGCTGCTGCCAGGCCCGTAATCTGTCATGGGCCCCTGTACCGCCTCCTCATGCTGCTGCCAGGTCCAGAGTGTGCCCTGTACGGCCTCCCATTGCTGCTGACTTCATCGCCAGACTCTGCCATGTGCCACTTTCAGGTCTCCTCACACTGCTGGTGTGTTCCATTTTGTCATAGGGTGCTGGCAGATTACGGGCCTCCCATTGCTGCTGCCAGGCCCCTAATCTGCCATGGGCCCCTGTACCCGCCTCCTCATGCTGCTGCCAGATCCAGAGTGTGTCATGGGTCCCTGTACGGCCTCCCATTGCTGCTGACTTCATCGCCAGACTCTGCCATGTGCCACTTTCAGGTCTCCTCACACTGCTGGTGGGTTCCATTTTGTCATAGGGTGCTGTATGGCCTCCCATTGCTGCTGCCTCCACCGCCACACTGTGGCTCCACACTCTGGTTTTTGAGTGAGTGTGCGGTGATTCTAAGATCGACGGCACTCATCTGCATGTCATACTGACTGACAGTATTATTTTTCTCTTCCCCATTAGACTCCAAGGGCATTTAAATTAAAGGTACAGTGTTCTGCACTAATATAAAGGCTCTCTGAAGCCTAGAAACACCCTTTTATAAGTTAAATTCGCAGCGAATATATTCGACTCGAATCAAAATTTTTTCACGAATTCGCCGAATCAGTCGAATCAAATTTTTGAATAATTCGCTCATCTCTAGTAGTCAGCAAAGGCTGCTACTTTGTGAACTTTATCATTGATCAAAATCCCTTTAATACTGTCATTCTGTTTAATGCAGTTCAAAAAAGGTTCCAATGTGAGAATGAATAGTAGGGGGGATAATGGACAACCCTGTCTGGTCCCATTGCTGATCGAGAAAGCATCTGAAAGCAGGCCATTTGCTCTCACTCTGGCCATTGGCATTGCATACAAAGACAAAATAAAGGTCAAGAGACGTGGAGGAAGCCCAAGACCCGTCAGGACAGCCTCCATGTAGTCCCAGGCCAGTCTGTCGAAGGCCTTCTCCGTGTCTAAGGATAAGAAGAAGCCAGGTTTCTTTTTTTGTGTCAACCAATGATGTATATTTATGGCCCTGATTGTATTGTCTCTGGCCTCTCTACCAGGTACGAACCCCACTTGATCAGTGGAGATAACGGGGTCTATAATGTGTAATAGGCGATTGGCCAATATTTTTGCAAAGATCTTTAGATCAACATTCAGTAAAGAGATCTGACGGTAATTTTCTGGAGATGTGAGATCTTTGTTTTCTTTTGGTATAAGCGTGATATGTGCTTCAGAGAAATGCCGCATGGACTGCCCTGGGGTATCTAGCGAATTAAAGGCTTTTAGGAATGAATGTGCTAGAACATCAAGGAAGGATTTGTAATATGTGGTTATAAGACCATCTGGGCCCAGGCTTTTGCCTGGTTTCAATTGTAAAATGGCCGGTTGTAGTTCTGTCAATGTTAAAGCTCCATCTAATTCTTTAACTTGTGATTGGGGTATGGGTTTAGAGAGGTATTGGGTGAGAAAAGTCTGGATAATGGTCTGACGTGGTCTCGCATCCCCTTAAGGTTTTGGTGGTCGGGGCAGATTGTAAAGAGTAGAATAGTACCTCTCAAATTCTGTCTGCAGAAGTTCTGAGCAAGTGGCCCTGTTTGGAATTAAGTTGATGAATGGTATGCGCCACTTTTTTGGATTGCAAGGCTCTGGCTAAAAACGTACCGCTCTTATTTCCGTGCTCATAAAAAAGTTTTTGAGATAAGATAAAATTGCGTTTGGTTTTCTTTTCCACCATATCTCTGAGTTGTTTACGTGCCTGTTCAAGTTCGGTCGTGGTGTGTATGGCTGCTCAGCGTTTATGTGAGGCTTCAAGTTTGCATATTTTTTGAAGTAATGATGTAAAAGATGCCTGTGCTAGATGCTTTCGTGAGGCAGTGATGGATAACAGCAGCCCACATATCACACATTTGTGTGCTTCCCATTGTATTAGAGGAGTCGTATCCGAAGATGAATTTTCCTTAAAAGAGTAGGTCAAAGATTCACAAATTTAGCGAATAACGGAAGAATCAGTAAGGAGAAAGGGGTCCAGCCTCCAAATTTTAGATGGGAATGGGGCGTCTGGAAGATTTAAGGTCATCATAATTGGATGATGGTCAGATAGGATCACTGGTTCAATAGAGGCCGATTTTAAGGTGTGTAGGTCTTTTTGTGATAGAAAAAGATAATCAATTCTGGAGTGACGTTTATGGGGTGCCGAGAAAAAAGTGTAGTCTCTGTCAGAGGGGTGAAGGGTATACCATGTATCATGGAGAAGAAGATCGTTCAGTTCTGTTTTGATTTGTTTAAGTGCTCTGAAGGGTTTTGATGAGAAACCTATTGACGTATCTTCTAATGGGTTCAACACTACATTAAAATCGCCCCCCAGAATCAAGATGACTGATTGGAAAGTAACCAGTATTTTGGAGATTTTACGGAAGAAACTCACTTGTGCTGTATTGGGGCTGTAGATGTTTGCTAGGGTAAGTGGTTTGTTGTAAAGGGTACCTTTGAGAAAGAGGAACCGCCCTTCCGGATCCTTGAGAGATTCAGTGACTGTGAGCGGGAGTGTTTTGGAGATTAGAATAGACACCCCTTTTGCTTTTACCTCCGTGTTGACGGAGTGAAAGACTTTTGGGAAGTTAGCATTGGCAAATTTTGGAATTTGATCGGCACGAAAATTAGTTTCCTGTATGAAGATCACATCTGCTCGGAGGCTTTTCATGTAAGTCAGAAGTTGGGAGCGTTACTCAGGGATATTTAAGCCTCATGCATTCAGAGATGCCACCAAGAGTGTATGATGGGTTTGTATAGAAATGTGTCTAGAGGCCATTGTGTAGTTCATGAGAGAAAGTAGTGCTCGGACTCTATTACTGCCGCACGAGAAAGAAAAAAAAAAAGGGGGGGGGGTGATAGGGTGGGAGGGTACTTAGAAAAAGAGAGAGAAAAAATAGAGAAGAAAAGTCAGTAAGTCAGAAGGTATTGAGGACAAGAAGTGTTAGGTATGTATTGTTATCAAGTCATAGAAACGTGTTTCCTAAAACTTCTCTTATGGAGTAAATTCCGGGGGCAGAGTAGACCAGCTACGCTGTCCTTTGTTAAGAATCTTGTATGTAGGTGAAAGATTTAATATGTTGTGCACGAATGTTCAGTGGAATTTGGAAATGTATCGGACCCAGAGACGGTTGCTGTGATGAAAGATTGTGAAAGAATACCAAGAAGGTTGTATCTCGCAAGCGAGAAGTGTGTAGAATATGGGACCCAATGGGAGATCATTATGACACATGGAGGTAGGTGGGGTGTCAGCCAATTTTTTTTTATATGGAGAGATGTTTTATTCAGCTTTGGGGGGGGGGTATAGGTAAGAGCTGGTGTATGTAGGGTTGTGTGGCTGTAGTAGTGAGGTTTCTTCAGACGCGTAACTGGGACTGTTCATGCCTAAAGGTGTTTATGGAGAAGTGTGGAGGTATTATGTCCCCCAGTAAGGGTTCTTTATATGTCTGGTTGTACATATTAATGTCTTGGAAGGGCACTAATGTGGTGTAATTATATATATAA